TCATTGATTTCAAATACATTTACGACGACGCTCAATGACGGAACTAATTTAATTTTCCTAAATATTCACTTCAAATTTTACCCTGAGCCGCTGAACCCCAAGAGGGTCACCGAAGGGTGACTTCGCGCCCAAGAAACTTCGGTTCGCGAAGTTTCTTGGGCGTGGCACAAGGGTGCGTTCATTCGTACCTTGAGTCAAGCAAGCTTTATCTTATCAGCTCCACTCAGTTTCAGCGACCTAAATTTTGGTCCCAAATCGTTCTTCTTTGTCTGTTTTGGCTTATCTGTCGACACCTTTCCATGCGATGGGATACCAGTTCTTCTAAAAATGGTGCAATGTCCATCGCGTCCGCACTTTATCCCAGCAATAAAATGCTTAGATGGGCCAGTTGGTGCATCATGGGAAATAAGCGCCAAAATAACAGGGACAAAGAGTAGAATAACAACGACACAGGGCGCACTCTCAACTGAATTTATTAGGAAAAAACACAAACTTATATACCAACGGGAGCACACCATCAGACACCACACGTCACGTTAGTCCCCGCCCAGACCACGTTTCTGTGGTCTGGCGGGGACTAACCTGACGTGGTCTGGCCGGGGACTAACGTGGCGTGCAGTGTCTGATGGTGTGCTCCCGTTGGTATATAAGTTTGTGTTTTTTCCTAATAAATTCAGTTGAAAGGGCGAGCTGTGTCGTTTTTATTCTACTCTTTGTCCCTGTTCTTTTGGCGCTTATTTCCCGTGACTTTATCCCAGCCCGTGTTTCGCCCGGGTAGCAAAAAAGAAAAAAAAAAATATGAGGTGAGCTTTTGTCCGGGTTTGTAAAAAACGGGTGAGCTTTTGTCCGGTTACCGCGTAATTTTTTTCGACGTCAGTCACAACGACAATTATACAGTTGCGCAAATCTGGGTTACCAGAATGATTTATTAGCATGCAACAACACAAAACAGGAAAAAAAATATCGTAAGGCTATTTTGTGCAGACCAATTATAAGGAGCAGGATATTGTCACGAATGACAAATGATGAGGCGGCGAACAACTGAAGAAACTCAACGTTTAATGGGGCGAACTTGTGGCTAAAACAAAATAGAGAAAGGCTAGCGTCGCAGACACTAGCCTTTCTCTATTTATCAAAAAATACAAAACTTTATTTTTTTGTGTGAGTGTCCACTTCTCATTTTCTTCCATTTATTATTTTCTGGACACTCAAGTCTGTATTGTTGTCGTAGATCGTCTCCCGGTCTGCGTTGCGCCTCAGTGAGGTAATCTTTACTTCCGTAAAACCACCCTTTTTGTTGAAGGATTTTTATGGGGGAACTTTAGGAAACAAAAGGCGCCTTTGGGAAGGCGACGGGAAAACCTTGGGCTGAATTATGAGTCACAATCGGCAAAAAAAATCGATGTTTTCACGAGCTCAGTCAAAGGCACCGTAGCTAATCGGAGCTAGGAACAGGATTTGGTTGCTCGAAAGAATGTTCACGTTTGCTCGTGCCACGCCCACGCCACTTCATACCGAAAAACTAGGAAAATGGCGGAATATCAGAAATGTATTTCAGCTAATGAGTACAAGATGCCCAGAAATGTATCTAAAATACAGTATCAAATACTCTGGATCGAAAGTATTTCCAAGACACCAAGATACTTCAAAAAGTGCTTGAAATACAGTATTTTGAGTAGAGTATTTGAGATAGGCACAAGTCTGGCAAAAACACACCCCCGGGAAAATGTGATGGGCTCAGTGATGTTGCACTTTCGACGATGTTTGATTGGCTGGTCAGCTTCTAGCGTTGGCCGCACTCCGACGTTCGCTATGTTATGGAATGACTTGCACGTTCCAGGATGTCAGTTGTTCCGCCATTGTACAGTGGTTCGGATCTTCTAATAATCGGCACGTGTCTTTCGAAAGGGTTCTCTTGCAAAGCACATTTTCAAAACGGCCTCAATCTTGGCAAGATTGAAAGGAAAACAGAAGCGCGAAATAATGGAAGCTTATTTTATGGTGTCAGGAAGGCATGGCACTTGTGTCAGCGAGCCGTCAATGTCTCTTAACAAAAAAGAAAGGAAATTTCTCAACACCTTGCCGCATCATTAAGGAGACTCACGCCTGCGTTGATAGCTATGTCGCAGCGACGAATCAAGCATATAGTCATGTTAGTAATCGTTTATCTATGTGCTTCTGTTTTTGTCACCCGTTTTTTTTTTTTTTCACTTAATCTTTTTACGTCTTATCTTTGTAAGTGTTTTCCTCTCCTAAGGCCCTAAACTCGTCAAACACAAAGTTGGAGCCGACAGTTTGCAGAGCGCGCCGGTTGGGTGCCGGTGACAAAAGTGCAAAGTCATTGTCGTGATAGTCCAATCCGTGCGCTCCGTCAACTTTGGCCCCAACTTTGTGTTTGACCAGTTTGGAGCCTCTGTGGGATGGAAGGAAATATATAAACAGTTGTTAGTTGGCACTCATGGTGGTCGCGCCGTTATTCCCTTGTCTTAGTTTTGTCTTCGTCCTCTTAGCAGCGCAGTTTAAAAACAATTACGCTTAAATACCCCAGGACCGCCTACATAGGACCCGGCATAACGTCATGCGGGAAGTCTGAAGAAGAGCTCAATCCCCAGGACGCCACCTCCTACCCATTATAACTTGCAAAGCGTTAATAAGCAATTCTTTACAAAGAGAGTATCAGATGTAGAAAAAAGTGTGAGCAGCAGCAGAGGCCTTTATTCGACGTTTCGAGCGGAGCCTGCTCTCTGCTCGAAATGCCGAATAAAGCATCTGGTGCTGCTCACAATGTTTTCTACATTATAACCTCCTTGGATGCGGCGCTGTGTACACGTCAGCTCCGCGGCGGAGGCAGGAAGGGAAGCTTGGGCGGTACCAACGAACTCGGTTGAGCGACGGATCAGTTTGATTTTAACGATGTTTTGGTGGTGCCAAGGGTGGAAACCTCTAGGGTGGACTGCAAATGCTGACATACGTCCTCCCGGCACCTCGTCCGTCTAAAAAACAAAACTGAGAAGGCAAAAAAAAAAAAAAAAAATCGGCAAGTATCATGTAGCACTTCCTATCGTTTTTTCGACACGCTATACGGCACTTAGATCATGGTCTCCAAGATCCCGAAGAGGCTTCGCGATTTCGAAGGCCATGCTTCGATGTACGGGGCGTGAAGGAGTGCCCCATAAATAGAAGGAGCGGTTCATGTTTGTTTAGCGTTTTGCCATTTGAGAACTCAAAGAAAGCGGGACGCCGTAACAAATCAGGATACGTATCGGTTTTCTAATCTGCACTCTCTGATTTCTTTCTTTTTTTTTAACCCGAAGTGGTTAGAAAGAAGAAACTGAGCCACCTCCAAAATGTATACGGAGCGCACGAGCCGGCACGATTGTACATAGGATCGGCCCCAGAATTCCCCGCGCCGCGCTGTGCAATGTGAGATTCAACCACGGCTGGGCACTTGATCGATTAACTTACCGATTAATCGATTAATGCTTTAATCGCGATCAATTCTTAATCGGTTAATATGTTAAATGTTGACAAACAAAGAAAGTAAAAATTCGACATTTTGACCAAGCACACGAGGGCGAGTATATTCGTGAACTGTAGTGGCGAGATTTGTAACTCCAAACAAGTGAAGAACGTTATACTTGTCCCAACTTCAGCGCTGTGCGAGTGTCCGTTTAGCGTAGCAGAGACTGCACTCTAAGAAAAGCCTGCGCGTCTACTTACCCGCAAAACACTCAAAGAACCAATCATTGCGATTTAAGAAATCAGCTCAGCGAGTGATGAGGCGGAACACCTTTTTAAACCGAAAAATAAAGTCTGCCCAGTGGCATTACGCAATGCAAAGCGTCGTGTTTTGCGTAATGCCACAGCGCGGATTTAATTTTAAGGTCTAAACAGATGTTCTGCCTCATCATTCGCTGAGCTAATTTCCTAGATTGCAATGATTGGTTCTGTGAGTGTTTTGCGGGTAAGTAGAAGCGCAGGCATTTTTTATAGTGTATTGTACACAATGAACAAAGTTCGCTATTGCCGGAGAATATCAGCGAACCTCTTTGGTTCTGCGGCTGAAGTAAAATTTGTGAGTGTATGTCCCTTTAAACTGTTCTAAACTACACGTCGAGTAAGTACGTTGATTTTAAATCTGAAATTGTACCTTTTGCCGTTTAGCAAAGGCGAAACATATAATTCTGACTTTATAAAAAACTATTTGCATGAAAATGGACAAAACCGATTACTCGATTAATTAACCGATCGATGGGTGGCGATTAATCGTTAACATTTTTAATCGGCGCCCAGCCCTTGTTCACCAAAGGCCTTTTGGGATTTTCCAGAAAAGTATATAGATTTCTACATCGATTTCTTCCCTGAGTGAAATAGAGCACTCAAAGGTCTCCTGTGGAAGCTTGTTTTTGATGGCATATTGTTTGTAGGGATTTAGCCAAGAAAAATGACCAATTCTAGATGGCAAAACGTTCTAGTAAACTAACAACAATAGAAATGGACTGGAAAAATTTTCTCGGGAGGAGAAAGGGAATTTTAAAGTTTTTATTATCTCCGTAAAATTTGACCAGTGAAAATATTTAATTGCATGAAGATTTCGAATGTTACTTTTTAGGCGCGTTGTGCATTATATCCTGGTTGTCTTCTCCAAGGCACAGTAAGAGGGGCGGGTCACGATCTTTGATTAGCCTTTTTAATAGGAAGAAATCTGCCGCCCATGAGCGTAATTTTATGTTTCTTAGAATGCTTAGAGCCCGTAGATTGAGCTATCACCATAAATAGACTATCTCAGAATCCAATAGAATGTCCCTTTACAGAACTTTTGTAGAGACTGCTTCGTTAGAACTCACCGAGTAGACGATCTCAAAATCCAATAGAGTGTCTTTTTACAGAACTTTGGTAGAGACTGTTTCGTTAGAACTCACCGAAATAGACGATCTCAGAATCCAATAGAGTGTCCCTTTACAAGACGTTGCTAGAGAGGCCGCTTCGTTAGAACTCACCTGCTGTACGACGACCGTAGGTCTTCCTTGAGCCTGCGCATGAGCTCGGTGAAGTTGGTGAGCTCCACCATGGCGTCTTCCTGACTCAGCACGATGCCATTGGAAGCGGACGAGTCGCTGCCGTTGGAGCACGCCCTGTGGTGCTGGTCCCTCTGGGTTTGCCTCTTCACGTAGAACACGTAGTCCGTGGCCGTCAGGTACGGGGGTCTGGGACTCGCCTGTCAAATAACCGATCGCAAGTAAGCCAATGATAGCTCTGATAGCATTACTCTTCTAATTCAAGTTAACCTGGACTCTAATGGTCTTTCTAGCAGATCAAGGTAGTACTCTTTTTTGTTTTGTTTGGGGGGATAGCAAATATATTTTGCTTACAGACATAGATATATGTAAACATTCATAAACTCTACTACACGAAAGAAACAAAAAACAAGCAATACGATATGCGCAAACACCAAGAGGTAGGCACGAATGACGTGCGTTTAAAATATGCTAAACAGATAAGCTTGTCAAATAATGAAGCCGGAAATATACGTTTAGGCCGAAAAATCACGTCTGCGATGTGATACTGAACATGACGTAAGCACGTGAAACGTTGTGCCAGGTGTCCTTTCACAGGTATCATTTTTAGGTCTAACTATATTGTTTGTCTCGCCATCCGCCGAGCTTCGTTTTCCGGGGGGGAGGGCACGGACATTTTTTTAAATGGTACAGGAATAGCAAAACGCGACCAAACACTTTTTTTTCTGCACAGCACTACCCGCTCATCAACTATCACGAATTTGTTACCACATAATTACTAGTCCTTTCAAAGCCGTACTTCGCAGCCTTGGGTAACAACGCGTTACTAATAATACGTTACTGTATCTTCGTTACTTTTTTGGTAACTTTTAACTGCAACGAGTTACTTTTTAAAAAAATGTAAGTTGTAACTGTAACGAGTTACTTTTTAAAAATGTAACTTGTAACTGTAGTTCTATTACTTTTTCTCAATTAACGATAAAAGTAACGACGTTAATTTTGTCGTTACTTCATTTTATTATGAATAATATATCATTGAACGACTACAATTTCTTGCACTTTCCAAATTGCCTGTTCCGTCATTTCGAGTGTCAAGTTCGCCTTGCAAAAACTTGTGAATACGTTCTTAGTCTCGAGTCACTACCCGAATATAGCCACGTGTAGATTTGATAAAACAAAATCAAGCTATCTTTACGCACACACTTGTGCTTTGTGACTAAAACACTTACATCTTAGTATCTTGAAGCACTATGTATGTTGCGGTTTTTCTTTTTCCTGCGCTAACGCTTTTCAATCGGATGAATCAACCATGAAACAACAATACACGCGGATTGCGCTGCGCATGTTTTGTATTTCGATTAGAGCCACTACTCCGGCGTGGAAACTTCCAAACACTGATTTTGGGAAGCCAATGCCGCTAAGTTACAATGTGAAGTAAACAGCGTACTTTTTAATTTTAAGCACTAATACTTGGTTAGGGTCGTTTTTCTAGTTTTTCCTAAGTTTTTGTGTTGTCGAAAAGTAACTTAATAGTAACGTCGTTACTTTTTAAAAGTAACTGTAACTGTAACAAGTTACTTTTGTTGCGGTAACTGTAACAGTAACTTCACTACTTTATCCTGAAAGTAACTGTAACTGTAACGAATTACTTTTTAAAACTAACTTATCCAAGACTGGTGCTTAAGTAACAAACGACGACGCCAATCTCGCTTATGGGCAGGTTCTATACGAGCTAAACCTCGGCACGAGCGCTTGTAACTGCAATCTAAATTATCCCACCCTGTTAAGACCATGCATGAAAAGTTATCCTTAATCGCTTCGTGTTAAAAACCATGCATGAAAGTTAATCTTACCAGAAATAGAATTTTCAAGGAAAGGGGAGCTTTTCTGATTATCACTAGTACTCCTTAATTGGCACTTAAGCCCGTCCGACACTAACACTTCGACCTATGCGTAAAACACGCGCACAGAAATATTGTTAGGGGGGATCGGTGGCCGAGTGGGCTAGCGCACACCAGCTCAGAGCACCTGGAGCAAAAGCTCGCGCTGCAGAACCCAGGAATATTCAATCCCCACCCCTGCCCGTTTCGATCAGGATGAGCATCGTACCGGCGTGCGGTCTTGTATCACTACTGCGTGGTAGGCATGTTAAAGATACCAGGCTAGCGGTTGTACTGCACTGTCTAAATTTTTTTCATCTCCAGCGAATGACTCGTCGCAACTTTGAAATGGCTGACCAACTGCACGCTGTATAAATATCCGCGCAACCCCAACTATTAGAAATATTGTTACACCTTCACCCGGAGCTTATGTCAATGGACAAGTGCAAAAGAAGCTAACGCACGAGATCATAGACGAACACACAAAAGAAAGCCAGCATACATAAGCGCAGCCATAACCTCACTCTGCTACTCGCGTAAAACAAAAACATACAAAAGAACGTGGCGACTAGATATAGCAACATATACGCTCAACACACGACGCAAACGTACACGCATCCATTCTCACCGGAATAAAAAAGAAAGTGGCGTACATCAGTCGTTCGCCGATCCCAAACAACTAGCACGGAAACGTGCACAACACCGTAAGCCTGTAATCGCGAGTCATCACAGAACGCGGATATAGTACGGAGATGAACAATCGAAACTTGAAACCACTCAACTCCCAACACCCCCGCCGAGACAGAAACAGAACCTCTCCAGCCGCCGCCATCCACCATTAAGAAACTCGTGGTGCCTAAACACAAGAAGACGGGGAAGAAGAACCCAGCAAGCAAAAACCCGATTCCCAAGCTTCGAACGTGGAGTCAAAGACAAAGAAAGAGAGAAAAAGTAAGTCTAAGAAAGAAAGGGAGGGGAGTGGAAGAAGATGTTTCTATGGCTGACACACACCGACCGGACATATCTTCCTTGTATACGGTGTCGGTGCGCGATGAGTTCGCCTGGTGCATTCCAATGACAGAGGAGGAGCAACCACCGCGGCCCGGAGGTCCTATCGGTGCAAAAGGCGGTTTCACGCCGTGAGAATGGTGTCAACGGATCGCGGAGGAAGGGAAAAGGTGGAGTGGCTGAAGGGACTAAAACAAAAAAAAAAAACTCTCTCATCCTCGGTGGGAGTAAGAAGGCAACTTAAGTTATACGTAAGAGCAGCATCCACCACCGAAACATCGCGTGGCTTGGAGCCTATAATCACGTCTCATCCAGGCACAAAAGGTTAGAAGCCATAATGATCGAGATAGATGATAAACATACCGGGGCTCTATGAATAACAAATGTAGCCTCGTCGACAGCACTTTTGCCGGCCCTGTCACACTTTGTAGACCAGCATACGACCAACTCCAAATTTACGTAAAATAAACAACTATATTTTTGCTGGGAAATGTATGTAACATCAGTGTTGCATACGCGCACCATACAGAAATGTGCCGATTGCTGTTAAGCATGGACAACATAAACGTACTTATCAATCAAAGATGTGCTAAAGTTTTTTTTTTTTTTATTATTTTCTAGTGTTTAGATTCACAAGCTATTGCAAACTGACCAAAAGAAAACAACGAAACTGATTGCAAGATATGCGTAAAATGGTGTTATCAACACTCCTACTGTAAAGCGTTTCTGTCTACAAAACAAAAAAGCAACAAGGAAAAAAAAGATGTATCTAAACAACTTGAGATCTTCAAAGAGAAAACGCCGACACAAAGCAGCAGCCCCATCACCGTCGACATCAGGACCAGACCGAACTGACAACGATGGTAATGGTACGTTTCAGAGCCGCCCAGCGCCGCGGTCCTTTCAGAAAAATGCAAATGCCGCATTGCCCTTTAGGCCACGTCTATCTATTCGTCGACACGTTGGGGGTATACCTTCACCCGTATTTTTCCTTTCTTCATCCATCCATTGCTCTCGTGACCTAGCTGTCTCTCTCCTAAGTACTTGCTTATTTTCTTCGCACGCACTTCTCTTCGTGTCTATTTTTATGTCGTTTGCTTTTGGACTGTGTATCTCTTATCCGAAAGTGGCAAGGAGTGGCCGCTTTTGTTGCTCAACCGGTACCTTCGCGGAGCGCATCACCAAATATTTTGGCCAGGTGCGGCGCCTTTTGAGATACCCTGCTACTCCCACGCAATCTGACCATCGTTTCAAACGCACAAAGTAAAAACCTAGAAACGAGCTCATAACTGACACGCGAACACAATGAAAAAATGCCGAAAAAAAAAGAACCATGAACCATCGTCTGCTCCAGGACTTTGTTTCGAGCAACACGCCTACGAGGACGGTAACTGTTTCCTTTTCTAAGTCGGGACCACCCCACACGGATGGGGAGTTGCTGAATTGTTTTGTTTTTTTATTTAGTCTTAATGAGAGTCATGTTTGTTCCCACGGACTTCAACGTCCGTTCTTTCAGTTGTCAGTATCTGTTTGTGGTCAAATATATGGCGACGCGTCAAGCAATATTTTGAACAGTGCCGCTGTCTAATTTAAAACGTATCTTCAAATGCATGTTCTAAAATAAACATTGGCGCGCCACAAAGGTACTATTTTCAAATTTACGGTCAGGTCAGACTGGTGATAGCCAATTTATATTTCTTGCCCGAAAAGAAGCATGAGAGCCGAAGAAGGTCGTAGGAATAACTAGTAAAAGGAAATCTGCTAGGGTGCCTAGTCAGAGTTAAACCATCAGAGATAAATCATTCCCGAAAGAAGTTTTCTGTCATCAAAGCGCTTGTTGATATTCAGAGGCTGGTAACCTTAAACTTCATACCAGGTTACGCTACACCAATAGATGTCTGGAAAAGGCATCAAGTGAATCTTCCTTTGTGAAGAAAGTTGCCATTGTCAGACCCTTTATGTGTCAGGTTCCACTTGAAGTCTACTTGTGAACTACAAAGATCAATCACAGAAACTAGGCTAGTTTCATAGTCGCCACAACCACATATGTAACCTTGAAACAAAAACAAAAAAAATACATATTTGCTGACAGAAAAGCTAGCACGAAGCGAATTAATCACGTGTATTGAGACTCTTCAAGATTCGTGCTGCAGAGAACATGAATCGTTCCTGGGTGTTTCAAACTGGATAATAATCGGACTGGTGTGCTTTCGCATAATCACCACTAGGTGATGCACAAAAGTTCCCGTTAGAAGTCGTAATGAACTGCTACATTGCTTCTGCCTGTGCCACGTTGAACCGGTGTTACTACA